GTGGCAACACGTCCTTCCGGAACCCCCCTCACTTTCTTTTAAATACGCTCCTGGAGACCAGCTGGATTCCCAGAGTTGACCACAGGTCGAGTCCCAGACCTAGCAGTTTAAAACTCAAGCCGGGTGATTTCTAGCTTTCTGACTCTGTCTCTATGGCACCCTACAGCAAAAATCTCTTTTAACAAGCAAACAAAAACGTGTGTGGCTGAAACAGATGTTCATAATTTTTGGATTACAACCCTGCCGTGCATGTACGTGGATGCCACCCTTGGTTCAAGACTTTGGGAAAGGACCCTCTAGTAGGCACGAGTGTGTCTGTCCCCTTCTGGCTCACTCGTTTCATTCTTGTTCACATCTTCTGTAAAATAGCATGCCCTTTATCACTACTCACACCTAATACTGTGTGAACCTTCCATGGAAGAGGTTTGAACAAAGCAGAGCTGAAGAAAGGAATCCTTTTTTCTTTTTTTAAGTGTGGTTCATAATGTTTTATTTGAAATGGCCGTTAAGCTTTGATCAGGACTGGACATGCAGGGTTAATTTCGGTTGACACAGCAGGTGGTGTAGGAACGATCTTACCCTCTACACCCTGCACCTCCTAACATACAGCAGAATTTCGGGTCGCAATAACAAAATAGTGATGAATCAACTCACTGACTTGCACTTAAAATAGTCTGAGAAGAAACCATCACATCTGTTTCTGGGGATTGTCATATCCAAGTGCACACCGGGTGGTGGGTATCTAAGTACCTGGAACACCGGAGCTCTAGGAATTGTTACCTTTCCACCAGGGAGAGGAAAGTCTCCTCTGCTTTTTGCACCTAATACTGTTCCACCTCAGCTTGGAGACTCAGTAGTGTATACAGCTACTTCAAATTCTGCATCATCCCGCCAGCCTGCAGGGTTCTTCCTGCAACTTTTGTAATCTGTGATAGAGTCAAGTTTTACATTTAAGTCTCTTTAAGTTCTCTGTCTTACAGGGTGAGTGAAACACAACAGCTTAAGATATTACACTTTTTTGGAGGGGGAAAGATGTTTTTCTTTTGTCTTTTAGAGCACACGCACTCACTGGAGAAACAGAAACAAAAAGTGAGAAATCACCTCCCAGTGGGGATGGCCACGCTGCAATCACTTCTTCTCCAATCTCCTCTTGGGATTTTGGGCATGCACACACACGTACTCACCTGCCACATCCCAAGATAGTACACTTCATAGGTAGGGCTGAGCTAAAATGCAGAATGCCAATAAAATGCAAATTGAAAATAAATCATGAACATATATTAGTAAAAGTCTATGCCAAGCCGTCTGTGGAGCACAGTTATACTGCAAATTAATTTGCTGCTTATTTGAAATTCAAATTTGAGTGGACATCCTTTATATATCTTTGCTAAATTAAGCAATGTAAATATTTTTGATACATTCAATTTTAAGGCTATGTAGTCCTCCTCATTCTAGGAATCTAGCTTACAAAAGTAAAGAGAATAGACAACTAATACAAAGACAAATATAAACATCAGCAAAATTGTTAGAAGTTATATCAATTTTTCTAATGTCCTTCCTCAGGCCCTACTGTTCCACACACACTATATCTGGTATTTATACCCATTTACTGTGTTTGTATATCCTTTAGTTCATCAGTTTCAGTCAGAGTGCAGACACTCAGTATATATTAAGTGGGAACATACAATGTCTCTCTTTCATGTCCTGGCTTGCCTCACACAGCAGTGAATCTTCCATATTATTCCACTTTCTGTCAAAAGCCAGGGTTTCATTTTTTTTTAATGGCTGAATAGTATTCCATAGAGTCTTGAGAAGAAAAATAGGAAGGCAAAGCATTAATGGGACAAAGAAATGTGGTATTATCTGTTGAAGATATTTTATAGTTAACCAACTGGACTAGGGAGCAATGTTCACATAGTGAAATATTCACTTTGTAAGCTAAAAAAGGTAATTGAATGTATAAAAAGTGAAATAAAAAATAAAAAAGAAAAAAGAAGTTATATCAATTTTTAATCATAAAATTCTGAAATCAGTTATAAAAACTAAATCTAAAACTAACTTGCACATGTGGTTAGTTTGCAAGATTTGTGGAAAGATCAAACAGAAACAGCTCACTGTGGTGTGCAATCAGAAAGAAACTGGATGACCAAGAGAAAGAGGTGGGAGAAACGCCTCACTGCATTTTCCCTTGTGCCCAACTTAACAAAAGGTTAAACTTCTTGTTTAAAATTTTAATTGAAGTCACTAAAGGGTGGCTGTCTGCCTAAGGTGCAGTTATTCTACCTTTTCTGTCGGGTAACATTCCTTCCTCTCAGAGGAAGGAACAAAACTGTTCACCTGTCTCCCCTCACCTGGCTGCTCCACCTATGGAATAGTTTGCTCTGTGCACTGTGCTTAATGAACCTGCTTACACTAATAAAAAAAAAATCACTAAATGCATAAATATTTAACTAAGAACACAATACATTGAGAATTAAAAAAGGGATTTTCTGGGACTTCTTAGCTACAAAATCATTCTTAGTTGCAGAATGGGTTTCCTGCAAAGTGACACTGTCCTGACGGAGCCTGCAGAGATTCCAGGAATGGACCCACCTGGGAGCAGAACAACTGCCTCCTGAAGGATGAAGTGCACAGAGCAAGCGAATACTCTGCATCTGCCAGCAATAGTGAATTTCCAAACACCCAGTGCCCTTGTCTCCCTGGTATTTATTAGATTATATGTCCTCACTTTGTGCAGTAAGTGCAGTAACTGTTAAAATTACTAAGAGCTTACCTCTGTGTGAGGGAATCAGGGTGAGACAAGGAACACAAAAGTGGGTTTATTATTAAAATAAAAATGAAGTAACAGGGACATGAAGTGAAACTTTTGGGCTAACAGTCTCAGAAAGTTTTCAGATTGCCTGCAGAGGCAGACACCAGTAGTGCTGCCACTGAGTTATTGAGGGAACTTCAGGTTTTTGCCCACCTGCCAGAGCTCTCCATGGAATGCCTCCCCTCACCACAGAATGTCTGTTGACAGCTTCCCTCTGCCCCTCCCCCACAGAACGTCTGTTGCCCCACATTCTACCTGTATAAATTCAAATCTTGCCCTGCCCCATATGGAATACTGAGCACCTGCCACAGGCAGATCACACTCTGGGTTCTGTGCTTCACTTTTCCCATAGTGGAGGCTATCGACAGAGGTGTGAAGTGCCCCATCGTGCGAGGATGGTTTCAGTAGGAGGTAAGTCCGTGGGATATGGAATTGTTTTCAAACTCTCTACCATCCCAAGTCCTTGGGAATTTAAATTGGACTCTTGACTGGGTAACAGTTGGTTGGACTGAAGTAGAGGAAAGAGAGGAGACTGGACACCCCAAGGGCATTGTCCTTGTGAGACTTGGCCAATGGCCAGCTCAGGCTGTAGATGGGGGAAGAGGGCACCTTGGAGTTTGATTAGCCACACAAAGGAAATATATTGGGTAAAGAGAAGAATGGCATAGAGGTGTTGCGCTTTCTAGAAGGGAGACAGGTCACACCGATGTGGGTATGTAGGTGGTGGCTGAGAGACTGCAACTGTAGTAACCTTGATCCTAGGGACCAAGGGGACAAGTGGTCTGAGTTGAACACTGTTCAGTAGGCTTAGCTGAGACTGCATCTATAGTGAAAGACTCTCCATGAGTGAGGCTGGAAGGGCTCTAACTGCCACCACCCAGAGAGGCTCAGCTGTTCCTTCCCCCAAGTGGCTCCTCTTCTGTCCTTAAGGAGCTGCTGTCCTTAACTGAATAAGGGAGAGAATCCTTGTATATTTAACCACAAAAGGCTTGGCTTTCCTTAAAGAATCTGGAATTGTTTCCATTTTGTAGAAATCTGGGTTTTCAGAACGTGTTGATCTTGTTCAGTATTTCATGATGCAACCTCACCTTTCACTTTACTGTGCAAGTGAGGCGTTTCCTCACACCCATCTCTAGAGTGTCATGAGCAGGGACAGATAGGGAGTGCTGTGGGCTCTCCAGTGGAAAAGTCTTTAAAGATTGGTTTTGGGACCAGCAGTTAGCGTAATGGCTGTGTCGCTGGACTCCCACGTAGTCGACTGCGATTTGCGTCCCGGACCTGGTGGCTTAAAACTCACGCCAGGCGTGTGTGTGTGCGTGCCCAAGATCCCGAGAGGAGAATGGAGGAGAAGGGATTGCGGCATGGTCATCCCCCCTGGGGGGTGATTTCTCGCTTTCTGTCTCTCTGTCTCTGTCTGTCTGGCGAGTGCACGTACCCTATAGCAAAAAAAAAAAAAAAAGATTGGTTTCCATTACAAGAGAGGAAGGACAGTGACACCCAATGAGAAGATGATCAATTACTAGTATTACAAGCAGGACGGGTGTCCTGAAGGACTAGGTGCATGTGTGTAGCTGTCCTCCTTTCCTAAGGTTGTCCTGAGGCTCTAGTGGGACAGGGTGTCTTCCACATAACTTTGTTCTGTCTGTAGTCTGGCTCATTCCTGGTTCATTCTGGGCCTTCATGCGATTGTTGGGAGCTCCCATTAGAAGGACCATTACCCATGATCCAGGCCGACATGACCAGCGATTTTTCTCCATCCACCTATTTCCCTTTCTCCACAGCATCTTCAGTTCTGGGACAGAACAAGACCCTGAACTCTGGCTCCTCCACATCTTTCCTGGCGCTGCACTGCCCCCAGCCCACTCCTGGCCCAGCACACCAGCTGCCCAGGGAGCAGACCCTGACCCCTGTCCTGACTGCAGCATTTCCTCCTGGCTGCCCCTTGGTGCTGTCTGCTCCTCCTGTGACACCTTTGGTGACATCAGTTGCAGGCCATGGCTCCAGTGCAGCTGGGACTGCCAACATCCTTCTGCAAATTAATGCAGAACAAGGGCCTGTCCAGGCTCCTCGCAGTCAGATCTTTCTCCTGAATCAGGCCCCTGTCAATTGGAGCACCCCAGGAACCGTCTCTGGAGGTGTGGATGGTGCCCCTCCCCTCCTCTTGGCAGCTCCTGCTGTGCAGACCCTTATGCCTGCCCCATCCACTGGGGTCTCCCAGGTCATCCAGGGAGGCTGGACCCCAGCTCAGCCTCCTCCAGCTCCAGCCCTGGTGACCCAGATCACTCCCATCACGGCCCCAGTGACCACTGGGCCACAGCCACAAATGACTTTTGCTAATGGCCACCTGGACACGTCCCAGGCCAAGGTCTTGCTGGACAGTTCCTGTAACCCCAGGAGTGTTTACAACAACTTCCGACGCTGGCAGCACTTCAAAACCCTGGCCAGGAAGTACCTGCCCCAGAGTCCTGATGGCGAGGCTCTGTCCTGCTTCTTCATGTGAGTACCTGCTGCAGGGGAGTGGGACTTCTCTTTGAGCTCACCCATAGGAAGAAGACAGGGAGGGAGGAGGAGGTGAAGTCAGTGGGGGAGCCTGGGGACAGGTTCGGAGAGAGATAACATATGCTCTGTGGAGCTACCTTCTCTGCGATCCCGTCGTCCCTCCAGTCATGGCACATGGTCAGGTGACTGACCTAAACGACCCTCACCCGTCTGTGGGCACAACCCATCTCTGTCAATAAACCCTCTGGTAATATATACAGGACAAAAAAATCTCAGAGAAGACTTCTTATTTAATATAAGTCACAGTTTGTCTTAGTTTCTGGGCTCCAAAAGCCTATTTCACCCTTGTATTCCCACATTAGCAGGAACCTGTGTGCTGTTGGCCATGGGGTCATCAGGTGACAGAGAACTAAGAAGTGTGGGACCCTAAAGGGAACTTGACTGTTATGGATAGGATTAAATCCAGCCACCTCCCAATGAAGCCACTTTAGAATGATCACATGGAGGGCTGCCCCTTCAGCACAGGAATTTGGGGGACATGACATTGAGCACAGAGATGCAGACACTGGGGACCATGGACATCAGAGGCCGTCTTCAGTGATTGGTGCTGATGAGTGATCATGGGAGGGGGTGCTGGGGTCCAAGGAGCACAGAAGGGAGGAGGCTGAGAATGGGACATACATGAGACAGATGCGATGAGGCCCAAGGCAGGGGAGGTGTGTGGGGCTGGGTTAGCAGGGGAGCGGGTGAGACTTCAGAATGTTCTAAGCCCAGGCACTTACAGCCCAGTGCTCCGGTCCCTGTCCCGCCTGACGCCCACCATGTCACTGGAGGAGGGCCTGTCCCGGGCCATGCAGGAATGGCACCACACAAGCAACTTTGACCGCATGAAATACTATGAGATGGCAGCCAAGTGAGTCTGGGGTCCTGGGCAACAGGGTCGTGTGGTGGGTTAGGGTGGGCGACAATGGGGTCTGCGTGAGAGGCCTTGCAGCCCAGCCCATGAGGGTGGTTGTGGACCAGCACAGGCCCCGGGTCGCTCAGCCCCTGTCCCTCCCACATCGAGGCTGTGGTCTTTCTGGTCCAGTGTCTCCAGGGGCCCCACTCACCCGTGGTCTTGATACAGACAGTGGGCAGGGGCTAAAGGAGCCAGGGCAGCCCAACGGGGGTCCCCGCCAGGACAGGGCTCAGCTCGGCCATCCTGCCTACTGCCTTTCTGGAGTTGCTGACTCGGAGAGGATGGGGTGGCCTTTTCTCAGGG